GCCTGCGTTATCTGCAGCAGCGCCTGCCGCGCGCGCGGCCGCGGAGCGAACGGCGCGACCGCGCAAACATTGCGAGGGCGCCGCGAATCGGGGGCGTCAAGCGCCCCCCTACTTCTTGGCCCATTTCGCGGGCCGGGGCGGCTTGCGCGGCGCGTCTGGCGCCGGCCTCTTCGAGCTGCCCCACGCGCCCGTCTTCCACGTAGATCGGCCCCGGCCGCCGCTGTGCCAGGACGCACCGGAATGCGAAGAGCGCGTCTCCGCCGCGCCCTTGTTCGGCGCGGCGCGGCCACTGCCGCGGCCGTTGCCCGCGGGCGTGGCCTGGGCGGCCTGCCCCTGCGCCTGCAAACGCAACTGTCACGCACGACGCGCGACGCCCCCGGCGCGCGCGGGCGACCTTGGCTGCGCGGTCGAACTCGTTCTCGGCAGACCGCTGGGACAACGCGTCGAGCCCTTTCGAGGCCTCCTCAATATTGAACTTCTCGACGCCGCTCTGTCGCGAGCGCTCGGCCCAGCTCTTGCGGACGATTTTGTCGCACAGGAGCCCAAGCCCAGCCTTGCGGCCCGCGAGCGGAGCTTCCAAGGCCACCTCGCGAAAGGCAACGGGTGCGCGCGCCGCTACGTGCGCGCGCTGGCACGTCGCGGACCTGGAGCACAAATCGCTTATGCTCCAAGCAGCGTGCGTAAGATAGCTGCTTAGTGGCAGCAGCCGCAATCGCCCATGCGTCGAAGGCGAGGTGAAACTCGGCCCACGACAACGCGCGCTGACCTTTACTGCCGCACTCAGCCGTCACTCCGTTGGCGTCTGCGTCGTCGACCCCGCGGGCGCTCGCGGCCCAGGTCGGGAGAAAGCCGCGCAAATCAGAGTAAACGAAAGGATTCGCGCAGCCCCTCTTTCTCGCGCGCACGACCTCGGCAGCCATCCAATCACATTTCTCGCTCCTGTGCAAGGCAGCGACCGCTGTCACCGCCGCTGGCGCGCTCACGTGAGGGCGCGCCTCGGCCAGATCGTCTGGCTGAGGCCGTTCAACGTAATCGTCGCCAACTCAGCGCCCGCGTCTACGTGGTGCACGGGGGCGGCCATTTCCACATTGGCCTCTGCCCCGATGCGAGCGCGCAGACCAGGGGGGCTCGCCGGGCGCGCTCGCGCACGCCACCTGCTTGCCCGCAGTTGCGGCGCGCTCCAGCGCGCGGCGGAGCACGCCTTTCGCGCCCGCTGGCAGGCCCTCCGAGCCCGACAGCTCTTCTAGCCGAATGTTCGCCAGCTGTGCCGGCGTCAGCAGCTTATTAGCGCCTAGGCAGTCAATCGCAGCCTTGTATTCGATGTCCTACCATTCTGTCCCGAACACGGGGTCTTGGCGCAGAAAGCTCAGCAGCGGTCCGTCCGCCATCGCGAACAAAGAAGCCAGAAAACACCAGCGTCGCACTGTTCGCACACGCGGGGATGACGCGGCGGGCCGACTGCAACGCAGCGCGCTCAACACGCGCACGGAAAGACGGCGACGCCGGTAGCAGCACGAGCGAGGTGCCTGCAGATACCTGGTCCGCCGCTTCGCAGACGCAAAACGAACGCGCGCACCCCGAACGCGGGGGAGGAACGGCGGAGCCGGGAACGCAACGCGAGATGCCCGCGGAAACCTGGCCCGCTTATGGCCATGAGCGCGGGTCACGCGTCTTGCCGAGCGGGCAGGCGCTGGCCAGCTGGTCGATCCTCGCGTTTCGTGCGCACGGCCCGAGCGGCGCCGTGGCCGTCAGCTCTATCGAGGGGCTGCCTGAGGGCCCTGCGGCAGATGTGCGCCTCCGTGGCGACGATCTGCTGCGATCGCTCCCGCCGCCCGCACACGCGACAGTAAGAACACACAAAAGGGCCAATGTGACACGTCTCGCGACATGGGGCGGGCCGCGTTGACGGCACCTCGTCGTCAGACGACATCGCTGCGCGGCGTACTTAGTAGCCCGCGCAGCGACCCTTATGCGGCCTCCAGTTGCGGGAGGGAGCGCGCAAATCCACACTGGGGCGACACGCGCGGCACGATCGCGCGCGTTTGTTAAAAGCGTTGTGGTCGCGCGCGCCGCCCTAGGCGCCCGCGACCCGCGCTGGCGGGCACGCTCGCAACTTTACCCGGCGGAAGTGCGCTTCATCGCCGCTGTCTGGATTGCCCATTAGACGGCAGCGCATCACGGGCGCAGAGACGATCTGGGACTTAGCGTAGCCCATTATGATACGGCAGAAGACGCGCGGCAAACGCGGTGCGCGTTGGGCCAGGGCGAAGCGCAGTTCAGCCCACACCTGCTCCAGCCTTACTAACCGAGGGCCGACTGCTCCGAGTCGGACGGGCGACCAGCAGCTCTCGTTGGCAGGTGGTGCTGGCATTGCTAGGGGCGGGCCCCTTGGCGCTCGCCCCTGCAGCCTGGGGCCCGCCCCCTTAACCAGCAGGTAGCGAAGCCGCTCGCGCGCCTGCGACAACACTGTGTCTGCGTGCGCTACCCGCGCGCGGGATGCGCTGCGCACCAAGGGGCCCCGTTCTGTTTTCGCCTCGAACGGCACGAGCGCCGCCTGCGCAGCCTGCTCCGCCATCGCAAGCAAGCAGAAGCCGCTGACTTCACCCGACATTCGGAGCCGCTGAGAACCTGCGACAGCCAGAGCAAAAACCGTCGACCGACGGCGGGAGTTCGCTGCCTTTGCGCTGCGAGTCTGGCGCGCTGCGAGTCTCGCGCTCGACTGTTCACTGGGAATGCGAAAGAAACGTTTGCAACGGTTGGCCACTATGGGCCTCCGAGCGAGACGCGCGGGTGCGCTGGCAGTCAGGCAAGCCGCAACGGCCGCCCTATCGGAGATTGGCCGCTCTAGGGCCGCCAGACATGCGGGCTGGCATCGGCTGCCCTGATACTGAATGGCCACTCTGGGCCGCCAGACGAGTGTCGCTCTGGACCCGCGAGGGGGAACCCTATGGGTACGTTGGTCACGCTGGGCCGACGTAAGAGGCCACTCTGGGCTTGATAGCAATGCCGTGACCCCTCAGGGCCGTGAAACAGACTCCGCCAGGGTGGAGAAACAACGCGTCGGTCACCAAGGACCAGCGGTGTTGGCCCGAGGTGAACCAAGGGACACAGGACCCGCAGGGAAAAGCCCTAGACAACGACACCCACGAGGGGCCACACTGTGCCAGAAAAGAAGCGCGACCGCGGTCGCGTCCGACGCACTCTGGCGAACGGACGCCCCGCGCGTCGCCCCCAGTGTTGGTCCAGAGCCGCACACTGGCAGACAGAGGACCACACCCCGGCCAGCCGCCCCACATTAAGAGTGCACACTCGGCAGGTGGGGCGCTGCAGACATGACCGGGTGCTTGATATCCCGCCCCGCGGCCAGGCGGCAAAGAGGAGACATCACGACCGTGCACGGAGGAGCGGAGGGAGGAAGGACCCCGACGCACGGCCGCGCGGCACGCCAGCATGCCCGCGCGGGGCCTGGCCCGCCCGACGTAGCGGCGGCGCGTGGCGGGTGGACATGCGGGCGCCCGCCATCGCGCGGTGCGCCGACGGCGGGACACTCCCGCCTCGGGGCGTCGACTTATGACTTGCAATAACAAGTTACTACTGCCCCCCAAGAGGCCCATAAGAGGCCGAAGAGGCCCCCACGAGGCCCCCAAGAGGCCCCAGGAGGTCTCCCCCCAAAAACCCTCGCGCCCCCGAGAGGCCTCCCAAGAGACCCCAAGCAGCCTCACAAAGAGGCGTCTTGTCCACGACCAGTTTAGCCCCAAACTGCCACAAGAAACCATCGAGAGGCCTCCTCCTCATCCTCATCCCCCACCTCTTCCTCCTCGCCCTCCTCCTCCTCCTCCTCCTCCTCCTCCTCCTCCTCTTCCTCCTCCTCCTCCTCCTCCTCCTCCTCCTCCTCCTTCTCGCTCGCCATTAGCACACAAACGTATAGCACCAGTGATACAAGATGTGCCGGCGGAATAAGCGAAGCGATCCACCGCCCCACTGGGTACGGCGTGTGAGATCCCCGCCGCATGGTCTGCACAAATTATTCCCCCCTCAGTCTCTTGCCCACGCACTCGTCGTACCCATGCCCTTCCTCAGAGCCCTGGCAACCCCTCCTGGGGTCCTCCCCGCGGCCTGCTCATTCCGCCGGCCCGGGGGCCCGGGCTGCGGCTAGGGCGCCTTCTTGCCACCACTTCCGTCCCAAAACGACCCCCCCTTTTGACGTGCTCTGCTTCCGAGCGCCACCAACCCTCTGAGATACCTCTCCGAGAGCCTACTGGGCCCGTTTGGGAGGCCTCTCGGGGCTCTTTCTGGGCTGGTCTTGACCGCTCTTCGGGCCACCTAGGACGGTCCTGGGTGCCTCTCCACCACTCGTCGAGTCTCATACACCAGAAACCCTCAACAAGCAACACATACTGTAAAACACGTAAGAATATGACGACTATGTCCTTATCGGGTTGTTCCTGGCGCCTCTCTTGGAGCTCCCGTGCATCTCCGCGGGCTCTTGTGGCCATTTCGGAACCTGCGGATGCTATCTGCGGCCGCCCTGAAAACTTCTCGGGGCCCTCTACGCCCGTCGGGACTCCTTTTTGGTGCTGTCGTGAGCGGTCTTGGTCGCGCCAAGGGGGTCCCTGGAAGCCCTTCTGAGGCCCCAAAACTAACTGGCGACGCTCCTTTCTGCCTCTCTGCATCCCTCTTCGGTTTCCTCCGCCGTTTTCGACACCGTTGGGTGCCCTTTTCGTCCGTGTTCGGGCCCTCTTGGGTCCCTCTGGGGATCTTCTTGGGCTCTTCTCCGCATCTTCTTGGACCCTCTGGGACCGTGCTGGACCCCCCAAAAGGAAACTTCGGGCTCCAACAAAAAGTGGGGCGGCGGTGTCTGCCCCCTCAGGGGCGCTCAACTAAATAACAAAACACTTCACAATCAGGCCGATTCTGGGAATCCCAAAATACCTACTTTCAACGACCGACGTATTACGTCCTCCTGCCCCGCACCCCCCCGGCCGCTGCGCGATCGTCGCCTCCGACTCCTCGATCTTGTTGTAGTTCTCGTCGAGGTTGGCGTGCATCGTCCTGTGCGCTCCGAGGGCGGGCCCCTCGACCGCTGCTTCTCGAGGGGCCTGCGCCGCACCACCGCCCACCCCCAGGATCTCGAAGCTCCTTCTCCACCTGTTTCTCCTCCTCCTCCTCCACCTCCTCCTCCTCCCTCTTCCTCCTCCTCCTCCTCCTCCTCCTCCTCCTCCTCCTCCTCCTCCCTCTTCCTCCTCCTCCTCCGCCTCCGCCTCCTCCTCCTCCTCCTCTTCCTCCTCCTCCTCCTCCTCCTCCTCCTCCTCTGGTTGTTCTTCGCCTCGCTAGTACAATTATTATGGTTATTGTTAATACTATTATTAGTAATAGTGCTACTCGTAATAGGTTTGCTACTAGTAGTCGTATGCCTAGTAGTATTGACATTATTGCTGTTATTATTATAAGTCGTACGAGTAGTAGTGTATTGCTGTTAGTATTCGCAGTATTAGTATCACTGTAATGTTATTTATACTCGTCTCAGTATTCATAACAGTCTTCTTCCTACTATGATTCCTCTTATTGCTACCAGTATTAATAATCAGAGTGAGGGGGCTGAACCGAACGGTCATTCACTGTCCCTGGGTGCGTGGCTGGAATGGAATTCCGCGATGCGGATTATTGTTGCTGTTGTTGTTGTTGCTGTTGTTGTTGTTGTTGTTGTTTGTTGCTTGTTGTTTGTTGTTTGTTGTTTGTTGTTGTCGTCGTCCCGCCCGCGACCCGCTTCGCGACCCACCCGCGACCCACCCCGCGACCCACCCACGACCCACCCCGACCCCCCCGCGACCCCCCCGACCCCACGCGCGACCTACCCGCGACCCACCCGCGACCCCACCCGCGACCCGCCGCGACCCACCTGGAGACTCCCCTGGCGACCCACCCGCGACCCACCGGCGACCCACCCCGAGACCCACCCGCGACCCACCCGCGACCCACCGCGACCCACCCGACCCGACCCCGCGACCCACCCGCGACCCACCCGCGACCCATCCCGCGACCCACCCAAAATTTTCGGCGCCCGCGGCGGGTTTCTTTTGGATTCGTTCCAAGTGGAGAACCTGCGACCCACCCGCGACCCAAACCGCGTCCAATGTACAAATCAAAATCCGGCGGCCCCCTTGTGGGCCACCAGGCTGTAGGGCGAAGGTTCGCAGTTTCCTGTACCAGATGCAGCTTCCAGTTTCCACTGTTACAGTTCTGTTTCTTGCTGCTTACTGTTCCTTGTTGACTTCTTGCTGCTTACTGTTCCTTGTTGATGGACCGTGCGAGGGGGGGAGGCCCCAAACTGGTATTTTTTACCACGGATAAATCGTATGCTCTGAATTGCTGGGGTGGGTAAAAATTGACACCCCTCACGCAGATCGGCGGGGTCAGGGTCAAAAAACACATGGGATTTGCCGCATTTCTAAAATCCGGTGGCACCCCTCACACAGATCGGCGGGATCAGGGTCCAAAAACACATGGGATTTGCCACATTTCTGAAATTCGGTGGCACCCCTCATGCAGATCGGCGGGGTCAGGGTCCAAAAACACATTGAGATTTGCCACATTTCTGACATTCGCTGGCACCTCTCACGCAGATCGGCAGGGTCAGGGTCAAAAAACACAAGAGATTTGCAACATTTCTGACATTCGGTGGCACCCGTGACGCAGATCGGCGGGGTCAGGGTGCAAAAACACATTGGGATTTGCCACATCCTTAAATTCGCTGGCACCCCTCACGCAGATCGGCGGAGTCAGGGTCCAAAAACACAAGGGACTTGCTATATTTCTAACATTCGGTGGCACCCCTCATGCAGATCGGAAGGGTCAGGGTCCAAAAACATAAAAGGATTTGCCACATTTCTAGGAAATCCGGTGGCACCTCTCAAACAAGTCGGCGGGGTCAGGGTCCAAAAAACAGAGGGGATTTGCCACATTTCTGAAATTCGGCGGCACCCCTCACGCAGATCCGTAGGGTCAGGGTCCAAAAAACACAAGGGATTTGCCACATTTCTGCAATTCGGTGGCACCCGTGACGCAGATCGGCAGGGTCAGGGTCGAAAAAAAAGTAGGTCCCGACTGCTTCACGGCGGCGCCCAGACCTCATGATTCAGCTTTTGCATCTCCCATTATCCGAGAAAGGGGGCCGGCGGCATGGGGCGAAGCCCTCACGGATTTTCGGCGCCTGCGGCAGGCTGTTTTTGAATTCCTTCCAGGTGGAGGTGGAGAGCCCGCGACCCACCCGCGACCCAAACTACGTTCACTGAACAAGCCAAAACTTCAGCGCCTGCGGCGGGTTCCTTTTGCATCGGCGACCCACCCGCGACCCACCGGCGACCCACCCCGAGACCCACCCGCGACCCACCCCGCGACCCACCCGCGACCCACCCGCGACCCACCCGCGACCCACCGCGACCCACCCCGCGACCCACCCGCGATCCACCCCGCGACCCACCCAAAATTTTCGGCGCCTGCGGCGGGTTTCTTTTGCATTCGTTCCAGGTGGAGAACCTGCGACCCACCCGCGACCTAAACCGCGTTCAGTGTACAAATCAAAATTTTCGGCGCCTGCGGCGGGCTGTTTTTGAGTTCCTCCCAGGTGGAGGTGGAGAGCCCGCGACCCACCCAGCATCGACGCCCGCGTCGCCCGTCGCCCGCGCCCGCCCCCTCACTCTTATCCGCAATTGCGGGGTGCTCCGTAGTATGCTTATTAGCGTTCTCCTTTTTCATTCTCCTCCACCTCAGCCTCCTCCTCCTCCTCCTCCGCCGCATCCTCCTTTTCCTCTTCCTCCTCCTCTTCCTCCTCCTCCTCCTCCTCCTCCGCCTCCTCCGCCTCCTCCTCCTCCTCCTCCTCCTCCTCCCCCCATCCTCCCCCCTCCTCCCCCAAACCCTTTCCTCATCCTACGAGACGAAGCCACGACAGCGACGGACCAGAGGAGGAGGGGGAGGGTGTGGGGAAGGAAGGGGACGGAAGGAAACGGTCACCAAGACGTCGGCAGCGGCTCCTGAGCATCTCCACCTGCGTATCGCATTGGGACTGGTACTGCGTCTGCAAGATGGAGTTATTCACTCTCAGTTCCTGCTGGGGGGAAAAGGGCGTAAGGCGGATGGCCGAGCTTGAACAGGAAATCACACGAACGGTTGAGCGAATGGCAGGACCAACAGCAACGATTGCACCCACTGAGACATTCTCCGCTATCGATGCCGAATCTGCCGAAACTGTAGTTCGTTTCCGAATGTTCCGCGATCACCCGGGTTTTATCTGTGGGGGCGCTGGCCGATTACCTAAACAACTCGCTCTGTGAGGATCCATCTATGCCTTGTGCCGAGAGCCTCATATCGCTGCACGATGCTGGTAAATATCGCAATCTTCCTGCGACGACCGAGCAGCGAGGGAAGACATACCTTGCCAGTACCTCAGTGGCCTGCGAGCACCGCGCGTATGCACGACGGAATGCGGGCCCCTGCCAGTACTACAGTGGCGCGGGAACGCCACATAACGTCCGCGAGCACCGACAGTATGCTTGTCAGCGCCAAAATAGCCTGCGAGCGCCACAACATGCCTGTGCGTACCACGGCACATGCCTGCGACCACGACAGCATGCCTGTGAGCACCGCAGTCAGCTGGCGATCACCCCCCCAGCCCCAGACCTTACGCATACATGACAAAGTCAGGTTATCAGGGGGGGCAGGCCCGATATCGCGCTTTATCGCCAGACCCTCTCAACGACATCCAATTGCCGGCGGTAGTGAGAAACATCACTACGCGAATGAATCACCGCCGCTGTAAAGAGCACGAAGACCGTCGCATGGACCAACGTTGGCAGGGCCATGGTGACCTTTTCCATCATGAAAATCGCGTCGTCATGTCAACAACTTATCATTCGCGTTTGCATCCGTGGCGGCGAGGCAAATTCATGCGCACGTATTGGTATCTCTTCTCAAGGCAACTTGAGAAGCCGGGAACCGATCGAAACGCGATCATTTGTCTGCGTTTCACAAACCAGCTTCTGCTTGATGACGCGATGGCAGCCGACCCCCTCCAAGCGCCCACAGAACGCGCTCTTTCCCAGGCTTTGTACGTGCTTGTTGCTGCCAGATGATCCAGGATGCTTCTCGATGGTCCTTGCCGAAAAAATGCACACGTCCGAGCGACGGCAAGAGAGCGAGAGAGAAAGAGAGAGAGAGGAGGGAGAGAGAGAGAGGGAGGGAGAGAAAGGGAGCGAGAGTGGGACGAGTGATGGAGCGGGTGCAGGCAGAGGGGCCGAGGGCCAGGGGACGGGGAGGCGAACACCGCGGGGACGGAGAGAGCCGGAATGGGTTCGCGCGGCCTGCCCCTCGCCTCCTGACCTTCTCGCTCCCCTGCTCCTGCCTCCTCCTCCTCCTCCTCCTCCTCCTCCTCCTCCTCCTCCTCCTCCTCCTCCTCCTCCTCATCCTTGTCCTCCGCGTCCTCCTTGTCGTCGTTATCGTCGTCGTCCTCCTCCTCCTGCTCCGTACATACCTCCATCCATCCATCCACCCACCCACCCATCCACCCATCCATCCAACAATCCATCCGGCCTCCACCCATCCCCCTCCTCTCCACTCCTCCCTCCCCCCAACCCCCCTCCGCTCCCTCTCGGTCGTTATACTTTCGCAGCGGAGCCCTCGGTGCACCAACAGAAGTTCGCTCTCACCGGCGCTGGCCCCGCCCTGGGCAGCAGCCGCCCGAGCTGGCGCCCCGGTCCTTCTTCTCCTGCTCGAGGCGCTTCACGCGCTCCTCGGGCGCGCACGACGGATCCCCTCCCTCCCCAGCACGGTACAGCAGGACCCGAAGGTGGCACAGTAGAGCAGAGTCATCGTGGTACCACGGCCACGGCGAGCCTCGGCTACGAATAGGTTCCCCGACCGAGGTCTGAGGAATGGCCCCGAAACCTTAGCCCCTCCTGCATCCAAACTGGTCCTTGTTTCGGCGTCTTGACTGCATGCTCCAAAGATCTCAAGAGGCCCCCAACGACGGCCCCGGGGGCCTCAAGGCTGTCCAAGGCGGTGGCCACCAGGAGGCCACGAGGTGCCCCCCAGGACCGTCGAGATGGCCCAGCCAGGCCCCCGAGATGGCCCAACGAGGCCACAAGATAGTCCCACGAAGCCCCAGAGCCTCCCGGGTCGGAGGAGAAGGGGTCAGCGAAGGGAGGGTTAGCGAATCAGCTCACGAAACTGGCTTTCCTAGCGCCAGGGGCGCCGTGTATCGAGAGAAGCACCTGGCGGCGGGACCGAAACCAGCTGCACGCAGCAGATGTCATAACCGCCCCCTTTCGTCCGACCCAAGCCTCGGAACCCCATGAATTGGAAAATCCGCGCGTCGTCGGTGCACGAATCGCTCGGATTCCCCCGCGCTACTCCCAATGAAGGAGGCAGAGGGCAGGGTCAGGCAGCTTCGAATCAGGAAGTCAGATCGGATCGGAACGTTCGTCAGATCGGACTGCATCGGCACGGAGCCGAAGTCGAGTCGGATCGGCCGCGCCAGGCTGCACAACAGCGCCGCGCAGGCATCGGGCCCAACTCGGGCCATCCGAAACATCGAAACCAGATCGAATCGAGCCGGGCGGCACCAGTATCGAATCGGATCGGTCGGACCGAATTGGGCCTTGCAAGGGGGGGACCTGTCCCCGCTGGGCTGCATCACACCTCCCGCGGCCTTGAGCGGGGCGGGGGGCGCGGCGAACTGCTGCCCGGTCAACTTCGAATGAACATCTGTTCATTCCGCAGGGGTACGTGTCGCCTGTTGCCCTGAAGGGGGGCGAGGGGGGGTCATGGTAACGAGGGGGGCGGCGGGGGTTGCGACGGCGGCGCCCGCAGAAGCTTGGATGCGCATCATCGGCGACGACCACGGCGACGACGAATACGACGACGAACGACGATGAAGACGACGGCGATGACGATGTCGACAGGATGCCTCCAGACGCCCTCAGAGGTCTCTCCGGAGGCTCCTGGTGTCTGCTGGCAGTCTCTATGAAGGCCTTCGGAGGTCCAGAACAGCACAATGGCATTACCGCAGTATGCACAGCAGTGCGGCAGGCGAGTATCACAACAGCCTGCGAGAGAGACACAGCGCACCTGTGAGCACCGCAGTGAGCCTGCGAGCACAAGGTGCCTGTAAGCACCGCAAGGGCTGTTTACTTCGCCACAAGCTTGTGTCACCGGTGCGCCAAGGCCGGGAGGGACAAGCGGAGTGGCCATCAGGCCTGCGCGACTATGAGCTCTAGCCACACAGTGAATAAGGATGCAATACCCTTGGGACGTCCACGTCGGAACGATTGCCACCCTCTGCCTGCGAGCACCACGATGATTCGCGAGCACCACAGCATGCACAGCGCGTGGCCATCGCAGCAGACTGCGAACACCACAACTCGCCTGCGAGCGTGAGGAGAAGTTGCCACCCCCCTGTGCGATCTTGACCGTGCCGGAGGGATCAACGGACATTGCCCACCTTAGGAGCAGAGCGAGCAAGCTCCTCTCCCCTCTACTTCCGCAGCCTTCCGCCGAGCCTCCGCCGGCGGAGCCGCCGCCCGTTCTCCTTCCGCCAGCTTCCGCTGGCCTTCCGCAGGCTTCCGCCCAAGGCGAAGACACGCCGACGGCAAGGTTTTGGGTGACCCAAAAGGGGGTCCAGCTGAAAGAGAGTGGTGCAATAGATCTTGGGCAACTGTATTGCACACGTATTGCGCCAGAGATTTGTAGTGCATTGTATTGCAAGTGATGCATTGCACGCGAGAATCCAGCAATACATTTGCGCCCGGGTATGTATTGCACGCCCCAAGTGTATTGCAACCCAGCGAAAATATGGCACCAAATCTGTTGCACCACCCCCCTCGTCGCTGAACCCCCTCTTGGGTCCACCCGAAAGGGTCGTTCGGGAATGCCCCCCGCTGGGCTGCGGCACCACCGCCCCCGCGGCCAGGCAGGGTGGCCCCCCCCTCTCGAGCCCCGCCGCGGGCTCGAAGGCGCCCTGGGGCGGACGGCCCCCCCTTGCCGCGCTGCTGCCCCTTGCCGCAGGGTGGGGGGGGGGGGGGGGGCCGGCTCTCCCTGGGCGCCGGCAGGAAGGAGACTGGGCCCTCCAGAGGAGGGGCGCCTGGGATGCCTCTGCGCAGTGTTCGGGTCCCCAGGAGCCCTCGCCACAGGCCCCCCGAGACCCTCAGCAGCACGACTCGGGATGGAGGGCTTGCCCTGGGGAAGGCCCAGGGGTCTGGGACCCATGTCCCTGAGGGCCCCTTACCAGACATCCGGTGTCCCGATTTGTTCGAGGGGTCCCCAAACGTCCCGACCCTTTCCTCGGGGCCCGCTTTTCATCCTGAGTCGAGTTTCGACGGTCCCGTGGCCCAGGGAAGGCCCCTGGAAACTGAAAACGACAGAATACCTCCTTGCAAAATGTGCTCAGTGCGTTGGAGGTCTGGGTTATAGGGGTCAAAATACGACCACCAGACCTGTCCGTCCTAGGGTCCGTCCTGACCAGAATTCCGTGGTGAATGCAGCAGCGGCCACGAGGAGCCTCAGTGAGACCCACAGAGGGAACAAACAAACTACCAAAAACCTATCGATCCTCCAAGCTCGATGGCGACTGTTCCAGCGGCCAGCCGCCTTGTTTCTGGTACGGCGGTGGTGAGGGAGGCACGGGGGCCAGCCATGGCTCTTCGACGAGCGCCTGCGACACGACAGCACGCTCGCCTGCCTCTGCAGCGTGGGAAACCTAGACACAGGGCTCCTCCCTCCCCATCACCATCACTATCACCATCATCATCGTCATTGCCACCAACCACCACCATCACAATTCGCCGGCCCAACGGGCCAGAGGCGTGCTAAGATCTCCGGTAACTGGTTAACAATTTTCTAGTTCGCGCGCGCGGGGCGGCCCCTGGGGGTCCCCGGACGAAAAGTACCCCGACCAGGTCCCGGCCGGGTCCCCCCGAGCGCTCCATGAGCGCACCAACAGGGCTCCGAGACGTCCCCGAGAGCCCCAAGAAAGGCCAAGAGGCCCCCAAGAGGCCCCCAAGATGGTACACGAGGGGTCCGACATGCCACAAGATCGCTCCAAGACGCCCAAGATAGCCCCCAGACGCCCCAAGAGGCCTCCAAGAGCACTCCCAATAGGGCCCCCGGAGGCAAAAATCATTGTTTTTCCATAGGTTTTTGAAAGATTTTGGAGCTTCCACCTTTTCGGCTTCCCGACGCCCCAAGACGGCCCAAGAGCCAAGAGGGCTCGAAGACGGCCCAAGAAGCCTCCAAAACGGTCCAAGAGGGCCCCAAGAACGCCCCCAAAGGGGCCCCAGAGAGGGAACACGAAACAACATTTCGAGCCCTCGGCCCTAAGAAGCCCCTACGAGGCCCCTAAGAGGCCCCAAGAGGCCCCCACGGGGCCCTCAGGAGGCCCCCAAGAGTCCCCCAAGCGGCCCCAGGAGGCCCCCCAAATGCCCCCCCGAGCGCCCCAGGAGTCCCCCAAGCGGCCCCAGGAACCCCCAAAGCGCCGCATTGACACCAGGCCCTCGGGCAAACGGCAGACATGAGACTGTATGGGCCGGCGGAATGAGCGAAGCGATTAAATAATCATCATCAGCAGCAGCATAATTATCATCAGCAGCATCATCGTCATCAGCATCAGGGTCATCATCAGCATCAGCATCAGCATCAGCATCAGCATCAGCATCAGCATCATCATCATCATCATCATCATCATCATCATCATCATCATCATCATCATCATCATCATCATCATCATCATCATCATCATCATCAATCATCATCATCATCATCAATCATCATCATCATCATCATCATCTCATCATCAACCTCATCAACCTACCTCATCAATCATCAATCATCCATCATCATCATCATCATCATCATCATCATCATCATCATCATCATCATCAGCATCATCATCATATCATCATCATCATCACCATCATCATCATCATCATCATCATCATCATCATCATCATCATCATCATCATCATCATCATCATCATCATCATCATCGTCATCGTCATCGTCATCGTCATCGTTATCATGATCATCATCTTTATCATCATCATCATCGAGAGAGCGTGATCCACCGCCGCTTTACTGTGGAAAATTGCCAACCTTTTCCTCCGGAACCCGGGGGTCTCCCCCCCCCCCTCCGAACCCCCCTCCCCCCCCCTGCTGGACCCCTCCCCCCCCCCTCCCCCCCCTGTCATAAACCCCCCCCTACCCCTAACCCCTCCCCCTCCCCTACCCCCCCCCCCCCCTCCCCCTCGAAAACCGGGGGGGGGTCACTACCGGTTCGAACTCCACCCCCCCCCCTCCGGATCCGGAAAACCGGGGGGGGTCACTACCGGTTGGAACCCCCCCCCCCCTCGAAAACCGGAGGGGGGTCACTACCGGTTCGACCCCCCTCCCACGCACCGCCAGCAAACGACTCCCGGTCCCTACCACCGCTCGCATCACATCCCCCACTGTTGTTCCCAGCACCACTGTCCTCACCACCACTGTCCCCACTGGTTCCACCACCGTCCCTATTGTCCCCACCAGTGCCCCCACCACTGTCGCACTGTCCCCACTGTTCCCACCACTGTTCCCACCACGGTTCCACTCTCCCCACTGTCTCCACGGACCCAACCACTGCCTATCCCCACTGTCCCCACTGTCCCACTGACTCCTCCGCTGTCCCACTGAGCTGTCCCACTGTTCCCACCACTGTCCCCACTGTCCCCACCACTGTCCCCACTGTACCTCTGTCCCATTGTCCCACCGCCGTCCTCGCCACCGCCTTTACCACTGTCCCCACCACCATTGTACCCTCCACTGTCCCACTGTTTCCACCTCATTCCCACTGTCCCCACACCACTGTCCCCACCACCACCGTCCCACCACTGTCCACTGTCCCCCCTGTTCCCACCATTGTCCCCACCACTGTCCCCACCACTACCGTCCCCACCACTGTCCCACTGTCCCACTGTCCCCACCACTGTCCCGCTGTCCCCTCACCACTGTCCCCACCAACACCGTCCCCACCACTGTCCGCACCCCCACTCGGTTTTCGAGGGGGGGGGGGGGGGTTCGAACCGGTAGTGACCCCCCCCCCTTTTCATGATGAGCTGGGGGGGGGGGAGGGGTTCGAACCGGTAGTGACCACCCCCAGTTTTCCGGAGGGGGGGGGGAAGGGGTTCGAACCCGTAGTGACCCCCCCGGTTTTCCGCCAGCAGCGGTAGAACACGCTCTTTCTCATCATCAGCATCATCATCATCATCATCATCATCATCATCATCATCATCATCATCATCATCATCATCATCATCATCATCATCATCATCATCATCATCATCATCATCATCATCATCATCATCACTGCCATGATCATCATCATCAGCAGCATCATCTGCATCAACATCATCATCATCATCATCACAATCACCATAAGCATAGTCTGCATCACACAGATCATCAGCAGCGGCAGCATCGTCAACATGCATCACCAATATCATCGCCATAACCATCACCATCAACAACAACAGCATCATCAACACCCAGCAACGATCATCATCAGCCGCAGTATGATCATAAAGAGCATCATCGCCATATCCACCAGCCTAATAATCATCAACATGACCATCATACTCAGCCTTAGCCGCAGCATTATCATCCCCACCACCTCTACGATCATCATCATCATCAGCAGCATCATCAGCGTCATCATTATCATCATCAGCATCAGCATCATCATCATAATCGTCCGCATAGTCATTAGCAGTAACATAATCAGGACCAATCTTACCATCATCCTCATTATCTTAATCATCAGCATCATCAGCATCAGCATCCTCGTCATCATCGGCAGCTTCATCACCACCTCCATCATCATCATCATCATCATCATCATCAGCATCATCATCATCAACAACATCCTCATCATCATCATCAACATCATCAGCATCATAATCATCATCATCATCAGCACCATCATCATTACCATCATCCTCATGGGATCATTAGAAGCATCATTAGCATCATCCTCATCAGCATCATCATTAATGAGGGGGCGTGAACGCACGGTTGAGGCCGCGGGGAGGCCAAGAGCCCATCATCAGCAGCAGCGTCATCATCAGCATCATCATCATCGTCATCATCAGCATCAACATCAACATCAACATTACAAGCATCACCAGCATCATCATCATCATCATCATCATCATCATCATCATCATCATCATCATCCGCAGCATCAGCATCAGCATCAGCATCAGCATCAGCATCAGCATCAGCATCAGCATCAGCATCATCATCATCATAATCATCGTCGTCGTCATCACCACCACCACCACCACCATCACCATCACCACCGCCACCACCACCACCACCACCATCATCATCATCATCATCATCATCATCATCATCATCATCATCATCATCATCATCATCATCATCATCATCATCATCATCATCATCATCATCATTACCATCATCGCCATCATCATCACCATCAGCATCATTACCATCATCATTGAGGGGGCGTGGACGCACGGTTGAGGCCGCGGGGAGGCCAAGAGCCCATCATCAGCAGCAGCATCAGCATCAGCAGAAGCAGCATCAGCATCAGCATCATCACCGTCCCCGCATCGTTTGCCCCGCACTCCTCCCGTAGGGCCCCTAGGGGCTCCCAAAAGGACCTCCGAAGGAGCTCCGAAGGGCCCCTGAAGGGCCTGCGAAGCGCCTCCGGAGGGGCTCCGAAGGAGCTCTGAAGGGACCCCGAAGGGTCCCTCCGAGGGAGCTCCGAGGAGCTCCCCGAAGGGCTCCCGAAGGGCCTCCGAAGGAGCTCCGAAGGGCCCCCCCGAAGGGCCGGGAGAGCACGCGTCCTGGAGGGTCAGCAGGTCGAGGCACTCGCGCACCTGCGGTGGGGGGGGCGCCGCGGACAAGCTCTTGCCGAAACAGTTGCGCTATCTGCCAGGCGAGGGAGGACAAAAAGAAGCGGAGGACGAGGAGAAGAAGGGAGAGGATAATGGGGGGTGGAGAGGAAGATGGAGCAGGGAGATGGTAGGAGGAAGGATATGAGATAGGAGAAGAAAGATAGGAGAGGAAAAGGAGGGAGATGGGAGAAAGAGGAGGAGGGGGGCAAGAGATAGAGAGGGGCGGGAGGGAATGAGGATTAGGAGGCCGTGTCCTTTCGAATGGCTCAGGTTCATGGCGGCGGAGAAGCATCAGGAACAGGGGGGGTAAGACGTTGGTGGCGCGCAGAAGGGAGTGGCGCGAAGAGGTGGCCTTCTAAGAAGACGCGAGGGTTTCTAAGTAGGTACAGGGGGTCCCTACAGTTTAGAACGAATTGCCGTCGCCTCCTCGGAAGCCCCTCCACCTCGCACCACCCCTTTGTACGCGCCGCCGACGGCGCCCTGACTGGACCTGTGCAGACAAGCAATGTGAGGGGCTCGGCTCGACTCGACATACTTGATGCTCCTCCTCCTCCTCCTCCTCCTCCTCCTCCTCCTCCTCCTCCTCCTCCTCCTCCTCCTATCATGGAGCGATTGGTGCTGGGAGGGTGCCCGCAGTGGTGGCAACCCGCCGGCGTGGCGTGGAAAACCGCCGAGAGAGAGAGAGAGAGAGAAAGAGAGAGAGCCCGTCGTGGCGCAGGCCCTGGGCCCTGCGGCGGGGGCTCGTGCGCTCATCGCTGCACGTGTCAGCATGCGTAGGGCGGAGGCGGAGGGGAGGAGAGGGGATATGACGGGCTCGAACCTGCGAGGAGAGGGGAGGGGAGGGGAGGAGGGGAGAGGGAGGGGAGGAGGACGGAGAGGAGGGAGGGGAGGAGGAACTGGAGGGGAAGAGGGAGGGAGGAGGAGGAGGAGGAGGAAGGAGGAGGAGGAGGAGGAGGAGGAGGAGGAGGAGGAGGAGGAGGAGGAGGAGGAGGAGGAGAAGGAGAGCGGGAGGGAAGGAGGGAGGGAGAAGGAGGCATGAGACACGAGGCAGGAGGAGGACGAGGACGAGGACGGGGTGGGATAGGGGGGGAATGAGGCAGGTCGAGCGGCTCTTCGCATCAGAAGCACCTGGCAAAAGGCACCCGAAGCAGTAGGCACTTGTGTGGCGTGGAGCCCGCGGTGCCGATTCAAGGCTGGACTGCAGGACAACGCTGACTGCCCCCAATTTGCGGCGATCATCGTAGCGACGTCTCGTACCAGTTTTTGTCACGTTCCTCAGGGTCAAGTCTCAAATGACCAACCCCGCCGAGAGGACCGAGTACCTAGCCTGGGCCGCCCAGGCAAACGAGAAAGCCGACGAATTAGCCAATGTTGATACCGCCTAAGACACTGGACGCGCTCACCGAGCAAATTCGTGGGCGGCTAGCGGCGATCCCGCTGTTGTGGTGGATCCACTGCCTAATAAGGCAACGCCCTGAGCCGCTCCTTGTCGCCGCGGGTCTCCCGGGCCATGACCACCGCGCCTTTGTGTAGAGTTGCGCTGCGCAACCAACTTGCGCCTCCGTTGGACACAGGAGGAGCAGAATAGGCCGCGCGCGTTCCAAGTGACCAGTCAGCGGGCTGCATGCGTCTGCCCCCAAGGGGGCCAACACTGGCTAGGACCACGGTAGGTCGGAGCCCAGGTCCCGCAAGGGCTCGAGGAACTCCACGTCAATGAGGTCGCATTCTATTCCGTTTCGTTTCGCGTCTCGGGCCTCTTTCATTCGATCTTGGAGGGCTCAGAGAGACACGCTCGGAACGACGAGCCTGCCGATTGGCATGCGGTCGACGCTGGTCTCGCCATTGCTGCGGTTGGGCCGAACATCGAGCTGGTCCTGGTGTCGTCACAAGGCTTGGGCCACCCCTGGTCTGAAACTCCATCCGCTGTGTGCGCGGGGAGCCGTCTGGATTGATGTAGAGGGCCCCGTCGGGGCCCAACCTCGGTCGTGGCACGAAACTGTCTCCTGCGGCCGTCGGGGAAGCTGAGGGCCTGGGCGAGGGCGAGGGCGCGGGCTCTGCCGACGACACCACCGTGCAACTCGACGTGAAAACGTCGGCCGGGGCCACCAGCTCCACGGAGGGCGGTGTGTTCGGCAGCCACCCCAGCGGCCTGGAGCCGAAGGGTCGCGGGCAGGCAGCACACCGCGTGACGCGTGGGACAGTATCGTCCTTAGCGCTGACGGTGAAGAAATTGGGTTCGGGGGGGAAGGGTCCCAAGCCGAGATGCGGACGGTGTCCGTGATGCCCGCCGCGCGCTCCGCGATGCCGAGCGTGTCTTCGATTTCACAGGCCTTGCCAGCGAGGATCGCCTGCTCGGCCACGGTGGCATCGGACCGCGCGGAGCGTGCTCGGCCCTCGTCGCGAAGGCCGCCGCCGAAGCTGGTTTTTATCTTGGCGGCGCGCTCGGCGACGAGGCCGGCGAGTTTGTGCTGGAAGTCCGTTGTGACGGAAGTCGCGACGAAAGGCCGTTGTGAGGAAGACCGTTCTGAGAAGTACGAGGAAAAAGCCGGGGAGGGAGAGGAGGCGGAGGAGGAGAAGGGAGGAGGAGGAGGAGGAGGAAGAGGAGGAGCAGGATGAGAAGGAGGAGGACGGAGGAGGAGCAGGAGGAGGAGGAGGAGGAGCAGGAGGAGGAGGAGGGAGGAGGAGGAGGAGGGAGGAGGAGGAGGAGGAGGGAAGGAGGAAAGGAGGGGAGGATAAGGAGGAGGAGGAGGGCATGAGGGAGGGAGGGGACGGATGAGGAGGAGACGGGGGGGAGGAGCAGGAGGACGAGGACCAAGAGGAGGGGGCGCCGGACGCCGTCGCGCCAAGGGAGAGGGCCTTCGCCCGAGCACTCCCGCGCAGGCTCCTCCTACTCCTGCTCCTCCTCCTCCTCCTCCCTTCTCCTCCTCCTCCTCTCCTCCTCCGTCCTCCTCCTCCTCCTCCTCCTGCTTCCTCCTCCTCCTCCTCCTTCCCCTCTCCTCCTCCTCCTCCTCCTCCACACTCCACCCTTCGCCCTCCTCCTCCTCCTCCTCCTCATCATCATCATCACCATCACCACCACCACCATCGTCATCGTCATCATCATCATCATCATCATCATCATCATCATCACCATCATCACCATCATCATCATCATCACCATCACCATCACCATCATCATCATCATCACCATCATCATCATCATCATCATTAACCCTCCTATTCCTCCCCTTCCTTCTCCGCATCCTCCACCTCCTCATCTTCCGCCTCCTCCTCGTCCTCCTCCTCCTCCTCCACCCTCCACCCTCCACCCTTCTCATCCACCTCCTCTTCCGCATCCTCCTCTTCCGCCTCAACCTCATCCACCTCCTCATCTTCCGCCTCGTCCTCCTCCTGCAACTCCTCCATGCACCTACTCTTCCTATTCCTCTTCCTCTTCCTCCTCCTCCTCCTCATCATCATCATCAGCATCAGCATCATCCTCATCACCATCATCGCCATCATCATGATCATCATGATCATGATCACCATCATCATCAGCATCATCATCATCATCATCATCATCATCTTCATCATCGTCGTCTTCATCCGCATCATCATCAGCATCATCATCAGCGGATAGCATCACCAACACCAGCAGCACCAGCAACACGAATGCCAACAACCCCACCAACGGCAACGACACCGACAACGACCACAACGATAGAGACAGCTACTACACAACAACAACAACAACAACAACAACAACAACAACAACAACAACAACAACAACAACAACAACAACAACAACAACAACAACAACAATTACTAGCAACACCGTTCTCACCAGTGCCAGGGTTTTCATAGGAGGCGGGCAATACCCCCACTTTGTGGGGGGGCCGGTTCAAGCTCTACCAAATTTCCAAACGACTCTTCGCCACCACCCACACCCAGCTTCCCGCCCTATGACGTTCGGACACTTCACTTCGTGGCATGCGGACGACCGTGGCTACTATTCAGGGCCCCGCGGCCGACGACGACGGCGTGCGCGCGCGAAGAAAAAACGAATGTGTCCCGCATGGTATTATTTGACAGGGATGATGGCCCTGGCAGGTGCGCAACCGTTGTTGCAGAAGTTCGAAAAAGTTGCTCGCAAAAGCCCGTTTGACAGAAATGATTAAAAAGTGTTGGGTTTCCTACGAATCCGCAAGAGCGCGCGGGATGAATTTTTGACATTTTTTTTTGAACAACCATTGTTTTTTTTTTTATGTTTTTATGTTAAAATCGCTACGAAAACTAAGGTTTTGGAAGGATTTCGTCTTGCGCGCGCGAATGTCCACTTTACCTTATTTTTCGCAAGGGATTCTTGAAGTTTGGTTATGTTAGAACAAGAAATGTCCACTTTAGCTTATTTTTCGCAAGGGAAAACCGATCGTAACAACACAACCGGATCTGGTACACATCGTTTTGCATGAGACTTCCTCACGAAAACGATGAAAATGAGGCTGCGGCCTAGGCGCGGCGGGGGGGCCGCGCACCAGGGGCCCCAACAATAATTATTCTTAAGAAGAAATAATGTTCAACAACAACAACAACAACAAGGTCGACACTGCACCTAACCCCCCGTTCACCGGCAGCTGGGTCAATGCTTGTCCTTAAGGACAACCCTTGACCTAACCCCCCGTGGTCAGCCCCCCCCCCCCCAGCAACCAGCAACCAGCAACCAGCAAGCGGACCTCAAGCTTCGCATTGGAAATCCTCTGGGCTCCTTAAGGCAGCCCATGCACCCCCACGAGCTGAAACCATGCGCGCGCCGCCGAGCCGACCTCCTATAGAACTCCCTGTGGACTCCTATAGAATCCCTGTGGACTCCTATAGAACTCCCTGTGGACTCCGCCATGGACGCAGACTCCCTGTGGACTCCTATAGAATCCCTAAGGAAGCCTATAGAACTCATGGGGAATCCTATGGCATTCCCAAGGAGTCCTCTGGGATCCCTAAGGGAT